CTAGGTAATGCGGTGACAGCACCTGCCCTGTGACCTGGCTACCTGAGCTGAATTAGCATGAGTTTGGTGAACACCCTTGGCGCTGTGGAAATGCCGGCGGGAGTACCGAAACTGATAGCACCTCTCGTCGAAGGAAAACCTTAGGTATTTCGAACTCGGGTGCATAGGGACATGGAAGTACGCGTCTTTGAGGTCGATTGACGGAGCCAATCTCCCTTCTCCACAGACGAAATCACCAACGCAGTGTTTCCATCTTGAAGGACGGCACTCTAACATGTCGTTCAGACCTTGAGGTTTAGAATAGGTCTGAACCCTCCGGTCCTTTTGGTGACAAGGGAAATAAGTTGAGTAAAACCCAACATTTCTTGTCCCACAGGAACCACCTCTATGGCTGCCTTGTCCAGCAACTCGACTGGACCTCGACACGAGCACTTCCGCTTTCTCTAGGGGCAGCCGGGCACTGGAGTGCAACGATCCCGGAGAAGGGGGTGGGTCTGCGCTTCCACTGTGGCATGTGGCCTTCCCCTGAGTGTGGACAGGACCCAGGGATTGGGCGGACTTTTCCCATTTCGACAGGAAGAGGGAAAGCTCTACCACCCACAGGGATATGTGGCAGGAGACATTGAATACCTGACTTTGGCAGTACTCCGACTGCTTGGTCTGGTACCAACAAGGGCTCCGGAGGAATTATAGCTGGGAAGCCGGGGCTGACTTCCCCTTCCTCTGAAAAGGCTGGTGGGCCGCGCCGTGTCTTGCCCTGCTCCCCTGCCTCTGCCCTTACCCCTCCACACTGCAAGGGCTGAGCCCATTTAACAGATTCCTTCGCGCAGCAGCAGAAGGATATCGGAGGAGACAACCGGGGCCGCGAGCGAGACGTGTGAGGCTGTTCCAGCAAGGGCTTAGGAGTCCTTGAAGGTTGAGACAGCCTCAGCGGCCTCCCTCGGACTACTGCAGCTGCCCGGGGAACAGGGTAGAACCCATCCAGAATGGCAGCCAGCAGAGCCTGTTGCGGGCAGGCGGCATACCGCCACGGAAAGCCACAGGTGACGGAGGCCCATCACGCCCGACATCATTTGGCAAGCCGGCCCACCTGATAGAATCGCCGGGTATGGACTGTACCTCCGTTAATTGCTTAGCCAAGGTGGAGGGAGACGAATCTTCCTCCACCCCACCCACATCCAGTAGTTGCCTCTGCAACACCGAGATGTAGGGCGGAATGGATCGCCACTTTGAGGCATTGAACCGCATTGCGTATTGCTCTTCAAAGGATCGATAGGCGGATTTAAGCTGCCTGTAGCGTTAGTCGTGAACGGCGGAAGCCGGCGACCTTGCTTGGCTGAAGCCATGAATTACCTCGACGAACCCCCAGGGCTTAATGGATGCGTGAAACACACCGCCAACCACTGGGGATTGTAGAGGCAAGCCTCCCCGCTGAGGTACCGACGATCAAGTTCTGGCAAATCGAACCTGGACCTGGTACCACAGAGGAGGGGTTGATTACTTCAGACAAGACTGAGGGTAATATACGCGGCCTTGTGTCCCCACCTTGGTGGGAGCAAAGCCTCCCTGGGAGGCCCGAAACTCCTGAGGGTCGGGGCGCCAGTACTGACCACTACCTGGGGCAGGACAGAAGCAATACGCCCCGCATCTGCCTCAGGGGCGACCGAAATGCGAAACCAAAGGCGTATCCAACTCCTCCCGACCCTCATCCTCCTCCATAGCCTCCTCGAATCGATCCTCAATGAGTGAGGTCTCTGTTTCCAGAGAGAGCTCTGAGGGATCATCCGAGGGGTCTACAGAGAGGGACAAAGGCTCGAGCAGAGCCGGGTTGCCCGGCACACCCGACCCAAGACTCGAGACTGAGTCGCGGTGCCGTGATGAGGAAGAGCCCGTGCTGGGATTCCTCAATGGGAGACAAAATGATCCAGACACCGAATGGCCCGGCCAAGCCGGCGCAAGCGGTGGGACCAATTGCGAAGTAGCGGCAACTACAGGGACTGCCAAACTACTAACTACTGGACCAGACCCCGAGCCAAGGCTCGGGCCGGTAGTAGTTACTACAGCGGAGGGGTGGCCAGCAACCGAGACGAAACTCGGAGCCGACGCACCCCCGACAGAAACCCCCACACCAGAGCCTAAGCTGAGGTTGGGAGCACTGCCCGCCATAGACCCGGCACACACACCCGTACCTGGTCGGACGCCACTCTCCTGACGGAGGCCAGCCATCGCGTCAGCCACGAGAGTGTGGACCGAATCCATCTGCTTCTGCAATATATCAGAAAGTAAATCAATTGTTAGCTGGTTAGAAACAGGGACAGGAGGGGGGGAAGGTGCCTGTGATGTTGAGGGGATGGCAGGTGAAGGAGCCGGAGGCCCCGCATCCTTCACCGCTTAGGAGCATCCCCGAAAAGAGAGGAAGCCGCCTTTTTCTTTGTGTTTTTATCTTTGTCTTAGGCTGCTCCTGACCCCAAATGTCCCCCACCTGAAGTAAGGACGCAGAACATGTAATCAGCACGCCTGGACTTGATGAGCGGGGAGAAAGCCTGACACATAGAACAACCTTGTTCGTCATGGGCTTCCTCCGCTAAACAACGTGAAGCAAACCAGGTGGCGATCCTGAGGCTACAAACTGCCGCTACAGGTGACACACCCCTTTGGGCTGCAAAAACAGAACCACGCTATGATAATAGCAAAGGACTGTCACGATATACATAATATAATATGCACACAACAAAACAGAACAAAATACAACGCCCGGGCGATATTTTAACTGTTACAGCAAAGCTATTAAATACTAGCGAAAAGCCATAATAGCTGCCGTGAATGCATGCATAGGTGACACAAAGAGCAACATGTGAGCTTGATGTAAAAGCCAATTTAAAACACTCAAGCAAAACTTACCTAAAGCCTGGAAAAAAAAGGAATTTAGGCAAGTATAATCTACAAAATGAAATATCAGCCCTTTCACAACCCGACTACAAGGCTTTTTCTAAAGCCAGGAGAAGGAAAGCAAACGGGACCACGCGGTCCGCCATCTTGCCTGCCACGTTGGCTGGAGACAGCTTAACACCGGGTAAAAGTTACAACAAATCATGAATGAAAAAAGTCATACAAAGATTCCAGCTAGCGCCCGAGTCATACAGGATTTGACTCTATCTCACTCATCGCTCTCTTATTCGTAGCTTCTTGGACCATGCAATCGACCTACACGGCCGACGACAGCATGAAAAGTGAGGTACGAGGTACACAGCCAGAGTTACCTGCTCTTGGCTGTAGGGGGCCCTCTACGGGGCCCTGTAGGGGTGGTCTCACCACACATAACGAGTTTTTTGTTTGGTAAAATATTTTATTGAAATATTGTTACAACTGTCGTAGGCTTTTAAAATGGACATTTTAATGCTTATATGTACCCCAAGGAGGACTTCTTCTGAAAAAGAATGTGCATTACTAGACCAGCTTGATATTCAGGATATTTTACAATGCTTCATGCTTTACGATGCTGAGTCTTGTTACTACAGACTACTCGAAGCAGCATTATGATGTATAGCTGGGTGTAATCGTGGTCTGTTTCATCATCCTCATCACCCTTTTTACATCATCAAGTTTCTGGACAGAAATGTCAAACCGGGTGGTTGTAGACCTGATATGTATGTCGAAGGGTAGAGTCATTGAATCAAATCGTTCATCAAAGGCGAAGATCGGAAGGTAGATGACAGAAGAATCTTAAAGACCGGGATCGTTAATCGTCGCCGTAATGTAGAGGCCTGCACTACTGACATAACTACTACCTCTGTACGACCTGCAGAAACGATGCACTAACTGGAAGCACCGCACTGGATGGAAGTGTTGATACATGAGAGCGGCGCACTGGAGTAAAACGGCACTCTGGATACGATCGGTGCACTAGTAGATAACAAGGAAGTGTGCTGCATTGGGATGTAGAGACAAGCCAATCAAAAAGCCAAGGTGCGCTCTGAAGCGCTGAACTGAATGAAAGCGGCACATTGGAGTGAACCCTCTATCCGTACATAGACACCGTAGAAGCAGGAAGCGTAACCCCAAAGCCAAGCTGAGCACCGGTAAAAACTGTAGAAATGAGGTATCAATGCTGAAGTTGGAAGAAGTGTTGAAGGTAAACTTGCAGTAGAAAAAGGCACTGCAGGTAACATAGTGTGCGAACTAGCAAACAAATTCATGATGACAGCAGGCGCATAGAGGTAACCAGATGATTCGGCGAATGCTGACAGTTCAGTTCCAAATACTGTTGGAGCGGCGATCTGGTATGGTGTGGCGATTTGGTATGGTTCGGCGACCAGGATCTGTTCTGAGATCTAGGTTGGTTCAACGATCTGGATCGGATAGGTGATCTGGTTTGGCAGGATGATCCGGTTTTGGCCGCGTGATCTAAAGCGCTGAGTCAATCGGGACCGATGCACTCGTCTAAAACGTCGTACCATACAGTAATAGTGTACTGGACTGAAAAGCTGTTACAATCAAACAACAGTTCACTAGGTTGAATCTTTGTTCCAATCGAAACGGAATACTGGTCTGAAGCGTTGATCCAATCAAAAAGGCACACTGGGCTGAAGTGTTGATCCAATCGAAAGCGGCGCACTGGGCTCATTAGTTGGACCGAACGAGAGCGGTGAACTGAATTGAAACGGTGCACTGGCCTCTTCTTCCCCTTGTGAGAGCGATGCACTGGTACAAAGTGCCGTACCGAACTGAAACAACGCTATGGCAGGTCATGCCATCGGAGGGGGGGCAGAGGTCAGGTGGTACAGAGGCCAAGAAGTTTTGATTCAACTTAGCTTACAGCACGTTTCCACATTATGGGTCGAGGAAAGAGAGAGAGGTGCATACCGTGAGATAGGATAAGTTTAAAAATTGCCTCTTTAATAAGGTTTCATTAGTGTCCATTTGTAACAGTTGAAAATCAACCTGAAAGTGTTAAATGTGTGATAGTATAAGTTCAAAAATACCATTTAAATCATACTCACATGGTCAATGAAGGCCTGTAGGAATTTGTTCAGCATGGTGTAGGCCTCGACACTCTTGTCTGTGATCTTGCCCTTGTTCCCTGCCTCTCTATTCCCAGCCATGGCCGTCTACAATGTGAAACAGTGGACACTTAGAGTTGTGCCTGAACTAACCGGGGAGAGTTTCTCACAGCTTCATGCAACGTCCCAGTCATAGCATTGGATGCCAACAAAGGGCTTCCCATTGAGATATCAAACCCAAGACTTGATCAACTGGGCTACTTCCCTTTACAAGGTAAGATGAAAAATAAATGTGTTCTGCTGGTAAACAAAAAAAGAATCAGGGTTCTTCCTGAAACTGTCTCTTAATGTCAAAAGGTATTACTAACAGTTGGCCTTGATGTTGTGATATGTCTGCTCAAACAATGTGGCTTCATCTGTATGACACCACAGAATAAGTATGGCATGTCTTAAATCATTAGCCTCCAATGTAAACTGCGACTATGCCGTATGTCTTACATCTAGAGCTGCAGGGAGGTAGACCTGGTCGTATTTGTCTCGCAGTCTGCTAGGCAGGGTCATCTGGAATGTTTGCTGTTCTGTGTTCGGCATCAGTCCACGTTGGCCACACATGTCTTGCTGCACAACAAAATACAACCTCATTTAACACACGTCTTACTGTTAAACAGAACATCATTTCACTAACTACATTTATCTTACTGCAACACAGCTACATAAGCACAATTGTTTTGCTTTAACAGAAAAAGCCTCACACCAAGAAACCAGGATGTTCGGCACAACAATCCAAGCTTTAACCACCAGTCTACCTCACTCACTCCACATGCTGTCCTAGTAGTCCTCTCTTACCTCCTCCCTCTTCATCATCTGGTGCATCTCCTTCATATCCGTGTCGGCCTTGCCGTGCACGGACCGTCCGTGGATGTAGTAGCCATATGCAGAGTTAGCCATGATGAACAAGCTCACGTTACTCATGGAGCACAAGTCTACAAACTGGCGTACTGGATCCTCAATGAACCTCTCATAGATGAACACGTAGAAGATCCACTGAGTTATGGCTGAAAGGAAATGGTAACACAGTTCTGTAGTTAAAGTTTCCTGAACATTCAATGTAAGATAGTCAGGCTGTGTATTGAACCTGCAAATATTTACAATTCATTTAAGAGACAGTGAGTTTCTCTTCCTTCATTGTTATGGATTACTGCTGAAGATCATTTCTGACTTGGAACATCCCAATATCACTCCAACTAATACCAGATCAAATGATATGCACTTCTGGTAAATAGATCCAGCATTATATATTGCAACACCTTCTTGTATATTATGATACTCATATTGTGTAAACACCGTACCTAGAATCAGTTAAACCCTCACACGGCCATGGGCACACATTCCTATATACAGCTACACACTCACCAACCAAGAGGTAGACAAGAACAGCGACGGCGTATCTGTATACGTAGGACTGTTGACTCTGGTAATCTGCAGCATTCTTCAACACGCTTCCATCAGGATCCATTGTAGCAACATTTTCGAACCCCACCACTTTCAGGAAGAACACGACAGCAAACACCTGAAGCACAGGGCTAATTTTTCTTGTTGCCTGAATTTCATTCCATTCATTTGCCACAAAATATGTCCGCCAGATTGACACAGGAGTTCCTCCAGATTTCCGGCCATCCTTTGATGTTTCCTGGACACCTTTGGGTCGCTCCCAGTCTATGAGGAAGATGTCTGTGGTGCACTGTAAAACCATCATGTGGATGATGCTGAGAGTCTTCAGGGCAAAGGATGATCCGAACAGGGCGAGCCAGTCTTCCAGGGCCTGACCTGATGGGTGGACCAGGTATACTGCATTCTGTCTCTGAAACAAATACTTGCACTTAGTATAACACTCCAAGCTGGTAGTCTCCCGCACCATGTAGGTGGGTTCAACAGAAGATGGGTAGTCTCCCACACCATGTAGGTGGGGTTCAACAGCTCAACAGCTGAGTGGCGCTCTGAATGGCATCTGTCTTCCACACCATGTAGGTGGGTTCAGTGGTCTGAGTGGCAATCCCCAAGCCATGTAGGTGGGTTCAACAGCTGTGGTCATAATGGCTCTACACACCATGTAGGTGGGTTCAACAGCTGTGGTCTGAGTGGCGCCATGCTAGCCATCCAAGACCGCATTCTCCCATATTGCACACATCAATAATGACCACCCAAAGTTAATACCCATGGTTTAAAAGGTACTGCACACCAGAGCTGTTTTATTTTCTTTGAAGCCAAACATCATCCGACATTCACTTTGACAAAAGCACACACACAATCATAAACTGCCTGTGACAGAGCAAGGGTGAGGTTGTTAAAGGCTGAAACATTCAAGCTATGCATACTGGCTTGTCAATATTGGAACCTGGTCCTGGTAAACCAGTTGTGGGGTGTATAGCCAGGGAAGTTGGCTTTACTTGAGACCCTCTTACGTTTCAATAATGAAAGCCTGGCATTTGTTTGTTTATTGTTTAATGCTTCACTCAGCAATATTCCACCAACATAGTGGCAGTCTGTAAATAATCGAGTCTGGAGCAGACAATCCAGTGATCAACAGGATGAGCATCTATCTACGCATTTGGGATACGATAACGTATGTCAGCGAGCCTGACCACCCGATCCTGTAGTTGCCTCTTATGACAAGCATAGGTTGCTAAAGATCAATTCTAAACCAGACCTTCACGGGTAGAAGCCTGGCAGTTTGAGACACATACCTTGTAGAAGATGAGCCAGTAGAAGGAAATCCCGAATGTGATGATGAAGAAAGTGTTGGCTAGAGAGCCAGCCAGGTAGAAGATGAAGTTGATGATGGTGGGGAAGTCAATGGCAGCTCTGCGGCCCCGTTTCGACCACACCCATGTCCTGTAGCCTGCGTACAACACTGACAACGTACCTAGTGTACCGGTGGCAATCTGGAAGTCGCGAGTATACTTCCCCTGGTCCATTGAGTAGGTGACGCTGAATGACACCTGAAGGGACATTAACGTGGAGGGATATAATATTCAGTGACTGTTGCCACTGGTCAAGTAACCTCAACTTGGTCAATACAATAACACAATATTCTACAGAATAGAATGCCAACACTGAGGAACTGATTGACACAATTATCTGACAGTACTAGTGGTACACATACCGAAACCTTCTGACCACCCTGTGCAGCCTCCCTCGCCACCTCGCCGTACGTTATCTTGAAGTATGGAGGGTTGATCTTGCCATCAGTCGTTCCTGCCTGCAGACTCAGGACCAGCTGGATTGACTGTACATATCGCACATAGGTTGCATTGGGTGCAGTCTGCACATCTGGAACAACACCAGCCAGTGAGAGTGAGATGAGACTGGTTCATCAGTTCCAAGAGAAAGCTATGGAGACTAAAAGTTCCAAAGAATACACCACAACAGACTGGAGACATGATAATTGAGTATGGCAAGAGCTAACCCTGATTCCATGACTGTATTCCTGGGAATAACTGGTCATCCATAGCATCAAGTCCTACCCTCTAGTCTGCAAACTGAGCTTTTCACCATTTTTTTCTTGCAAAATTTCCAGCTTACAAAGGTTCATATATTAACACTGGCATTTTCTGAATTGAAAAGTTGCCAATTGAAAGTTTTAAAAAGATTGGGCATTTATAATTTTCAGTTCCCTGGGAGTATGAAACCCAACCTGCCTGAAGGGAAAGATATGGTATGATGTAAAACATCATCTGTTTTATAAACGGCTTGTGCACACTTTTCATTCATAAAATACACAGACTGATTGGGTTATTCAAAACTGTTATTATTTATCCACATTTTTCATCCCATGACAATATGTCAACATCTTGTTAATGTTGTGTAACACAAAGCCACAAGACAACAGAAATCCACAAAAACCATTAAACCTACCTGGTGATGTGGAAGTTGTGATTGTGGCCTCATTGTCAACCAAGAACAATCTTCGAGTGAGCTGCCAGTCTGCCATAGCACCTGAAATAGGAAAATTCATGAAATAACCAAACAGTCTTAAATGTATTTCACAACATTTCTCAAATCAATAATTCAATAAACTGCTTTGTATAACTAAGCAGAAAACTGAAGTAAATGTCTCTTCAAAATGCTTTTTTACATAGGCATGTACTAATAATCATCAATTCCTGATTTACAGTTCCTTACACCCCTGTCCTAGCAGTGCTCCATCTTAACAAGGAAATGTGATTGATCCTGGGGGAGGTGAGGTGAGGTGAAATTGGGTTTAACGTCGTGCTTGAGAATATTTCGCTCATATGACGACGTGCATGCGTGTGTATGTGTATGTGCGGCTGCTTGTACTAGCCCAGACTGAAGCTGGTTTTATAGTGCTAGCCCACTGAGATACCATGCCGCAGTGAAGCATGAATACCCCACTCAGACACATTATACTGACTCCGAGCCGACCAGTCCTTGATGTACCCATTAATGCCGAGCGTCAGGCAGGGACCAACAAGTACCATATTTTAACGTCTTTTGGTATGACGCGGTCGGGGATCGAACCCGCGACCTTCCGCTCTAACCACTACACCATGGAGGCGGTGTTCCTGGGGGAGGAAGCAACATACCATCATTGACTCTGCGGCCAGACACGTCTCTGTAGTTGCTGATGAGCAAGGGGACCTTGTAGAGTCGTCTCTCAGTACCGTCTGTGTAGTCCAGGTCTAGGTCAGCAGTCAAGGGCACATAACTCTTACCTCCATCTGATTTACGGGGGTGAGTGAGTGAGTTAAAATTTAAAGTCACATCGGCAGTATTTTTAAGCCATATGATGACTAAAAGTTAGTAAAACATGTTAACTATAGCTGATTTACATAACAACCTTCTGTAGAAACCCAGTGTAGGGATGACATATTCTGCTTTCAATACAGTTCAACAGTGTTTGAAATCAACCAGCAACGTTATCTCATGTTAGAATAAAATAATTCAGGAGCAAAATCAAGACTCTCTTAATTTAAAAAAAAAAGGGTCCAGATGACAGAAGATAGAAATCCATCAATGCCATTGGATTTCCGCTTCCATAGCTCTAAGAGTCATTCATTATTGTGTTATATCTGACCAAAAGAATTTCGGATAGCTTCATAAATACAGCTTCCCAAGACAATAGAGTTAACTGACTATAAAAGTCCACTTTCCAACATGGCAATCTTCACAGTTAGTTGTTCAGGCAATTCTATGTATAGCATATAGTCAATAATAGGATTTGCAAAGCAGACTTTTCATGCCTTTTATGAAGATGCTCAAGTCCTGTCCTACAATCAACATGCACTGATGTCTGGGACAAGGAATGTGAAACTTTTCTCCTCCTATTGACTTGGAACAGGTAGTCTTGACTCAATACTGCCATGTTGGTTGAAGGAAATGCAAGTGATATGAATGGTGAAATCTGATTGGTAAATAAAATGGACATGAAAAGGACATAACTCATAATAGCCACTGGAGGTGCTATGATAGAGCAATGAATTTAAACCAAATTTGGCAAAGGTGGTGGTTTTTATAGCCTGTTATCTTCCTTTCCTTGTGAAAATGCATGAATACTGCAGATCAGTAAATCAGTATCAACAATACTGGAAGTATCCCCTGCAAGTCTAACAGTACACAGGTCAGTTTCTAGTCAGCCGTGAAAAGGATACAGATATCGAAGAAGTCCAGAGGGTATTTCTTCTGATTCCACAAACTCAGGGCACTGATGGAACACTGTCAACAAATCATTATCACAATTTGCAGTCTATCATCGTGTTACTGTTTGTAAGCTTTTTGTGAGATCTAATCATTAAGTTACATCTAAAGTTTAGTAACATTTAATATACAAAATATGAATGAAGAAATATTAACTATGTGTATAAAGAAATTCTAGTCAGGACCGCTCGAGATTCAGCAGGACAAGTGAGTGTGTGAGTTTAGTTTTACGCTGCTTTCAGCAATATTTCAGCTATATTACGGCAGGGGACACCAGACATGGGCTTCACACACCGTACCCATGTGGAGAATTAAAGTTGGGACTTCAGCATGATGAGCAAATGCCTAAATAACCACGGGATTAACCATGGGGTTACCCAACTGCCCCGGCAGGACAAGCAGATATGTATAGCTTCTCGTCCTTTTGACTGACAAATTCTAGTCCATTTCCAGTGACAGGCACATGCTAGCCTGTTAGTGAGGGAAAAGCAAACATTTAGCGAGGCTAGACGTTATCTCGGTCATTTCACCTAAACGGCCTGTGCTAGGTCAGCAGTGGACCGATTCTACAGATATGACTGATGGCATCTAAACCTGTATTTTATGACATTTCCTTTCCTCATAACTTCTTCAGCTTCAATTTTCAATTGAACAATAAACATTTTTCTACTCACAGATGAAGAAAACACAGTTCCAAATACAAAAGCTGCATTAAGTTGAGTCTCGGTGTTTTCACATAGCTGTATTAGTCCCCCAGTGATGTCTTCCAAACCAAGGAACGTTCCGCCCAGACTGTACCTAGCGACCTTGAACTTCATTGTCATGGGCGGGTCAAATGAGTAGGATGTGGTGATGTCGTTGTTGTAGACAATGTCTTCAGGATCGTCGGTGTAATACAACGTCGGTACAACTGGATTGACAGTGCTGTCACTGACATAGAAGAAGGGGTGTGAGGAAGTGAATATATATGGTTCATGTTCAGTAATTCAAACAGCACAGCTGTATGTCAGTGCATGGAAATAATCATGATCAATCGAAATGTTAGTGTAATGTAACTAAAACATATTCTCTACATACTAGTGGGTGAATTTAGAAGACACTGCAGAAGATTAAGGGGAATCTTGCAATAAATACTGAGATTGCTCATTCAAGCTATTCAGGTACCAAGGTGAAGGTCACAGATGACTGTGGTCATCCAGTATTGTTAGCTTCACCGCCCTTGTCAACTGACCACATGATTACCTCTTGGTTCATAGCATGGATTCACACAGCTTTGACACATGAAATGATCTAAAACATCTGGTGGCCTGTTGAAAACTGTTTCACTTTTTCTAAAATTGCGCTTTCAAAAATCCTAATAAGGTTGTCTCTTGTTTAGTGGCAATTCAAAGGACTGAATCAAAAGTATCCTCAGTATGTTAACAACCACATAACCCAAACAGAACTGTGGTTCAGGGGATACAGAAAATGTACCTGTAATCAACATTTTCCACATTAACAGTTGCAGCTATCAAGACCAGACCACTTCATTTCTGAACATTGGCAAATTCATGCATGTCTGCTAGCCCCTGACCACTAATTTGTGCTGAGGGTAAGCAAAATTCCAATGATGCCTAGTAGCTTTAGAGGCTTTACTTCTGAGTGAGTGAGTGAGTGAGTTGGGCTTTACGACGCTTATAGCAATGTTCCAGCAATATCATGGCAGGGGACACCAGAAATGGGCTTCACACATTGTACCCATGTGGGGAATCGAACCCGGGTCTTCAGCGTCACGAGTGAACGCTTTAACCACTAGGCTACCCCACCGCACCCTTTAATTCTGAACCAGTTCTTACTTACAACTGTAACTATAGTGTAAGTACAAAGAGTTAACACTTTTGTGTTGTTTGTGCAGGACAAGTTACAACCTGACGATTGGTGGAATATGGTTTACATACGACCTCCAACCAGACACAACAAACGCTGTTTACCATATTGTGAGTTTGACCATGAGCAATACTGCATGGGTTATCTGTATTTCTTAAACATACTCTCTAGAGTTCACTCACACTGGTATTTTCTCCAGCAGGGTGCAGGCCTGTTCACTTCCTGTTCGAGAGGATCCACGATCATATAAAAGGAGCACACACATGTTGGCAAGTTGTTGACATGCTGTCACGTTGCTGTAAGACTGAAGGAAGAAATGACATCATTCAGTTCAGATAATGATGAGCCTTCTGTCTATGGCTAATAGAGCATGTGCCATTAAGTCCTCTATCTGACATTGAACCTTGAACTTATCCATACATGAGCGAAGCACATTCAGTATTATTTCAAGCATGTGAAGATTTGGACTAAATCTGAAAGTTCAGTTTTAATCGTTTTAATCATGGCAATAGTGTCCCTATAAAAACTGTAGACATTAAAATGTCTAGATCAACAAATTATCACAGCAAAATAATTGCTATTGTATTTCAGTATCAAAACACAATCATCCGTATAGTTAGAAGTCTAGATCAAATATATTTCCTAGCATAATGCACATTGTTGAACATTCTTACTTCACAAAGAACTTTAGCAGCTCTCAGGTTTTCCTCAAAGTATTTGGACTTGACAGACCCACCAGCCTGAAGGGAGAGATAAACAACATTGACAGGGGATAACAGACAACACTGCTTTGTATTACAATATGGTCACAAATTTCACAAAGTACAGTTAGTATTTTGTTATTGTCTTCAGGTACTGCTGTCAGGGGCTATGGGTTGGTTGGTTGGTTGGATGGTTGGTTGGTTGGTGTTAAATGCCGCACTCAGCAATAATCCAGCTATATGGTGATGGTCTGTAGATAATTGAGTCTGGACCAGATACTCCAGTGATCAACAGCATGAGCATCGATCTAGTTGCCTTTTACAAGCATGGGTTGCTGAAGACTGGGTGTATTTTAGCAGGGAAGGGGTGTGGTGTATTCTCTTACTGAACCAACCATGTGATTGTGAAAGTCAGTTGATAATACACAGCTTAGAAACTGGTCATTTATTACAGGTGTGGGTACATGATGGCATGATAAATGACACAGTTCTCAGTTTTCAAATAAAAATAATATTATCTGAACATTATTATACATTATATGGTTAAAAAGTTACCTTGTGAAAACTTTTTAAACAATTAAACTAAAATTTGCAAATCTCACCTCAAGTGGAATATTGTATAGGGTGGGATCATCATTTGGAATTGTGTCTGTACTTTTAAAACAATAACCATTTGCCTGAAACAAGATCAACAGTATTGAATATTTTATGCAAGCTTCAGCATTGTTTTGCCTAAAAACATTCAAGTCAAATAGAAATTGTCCATTCTTTGATATTATGAAATCAAATAGTAAAAATCAGTAACTGAAATATATCTATCTATCTTCTAAACTGCTAACAGAACATGTGACAGAGATAGATCATTGAAACACTCCATTTCAGTGTGAACAAAATAAACTTGCAATCAGTGTACAGAGTATGATTGGTGCACAACTACTGTCAGGTGTTATATACAATTATAGGTTGGTTGGTTTGTTGTTCAACGCCCAATCAGCAATATTCCAGCTAAATGGCATAATAATCGAATCTGGACCTGACAATCCAGTGATCAACAGCATGAGCATCAATCTACACAAATGGGATACACTAACATACATGTGTCAACCAAGTCAGTGAGCCTGACCACCCGATCCCGTTAGTCTTCTCTTGTGGCAAGCATGGGTTACTGAAGACTAATTCTAACCTGGATCTTCATGGGTCACATATACCGGTATATAGGAGACACTGGAACATTATATAGGTACAGAATGTTGTTCGTGATCTCACTTCAACAAAACCTGACTGTCACATGATCTCACTTCAACAAAACCTGACTGTCACATGATCTCACTTCAACAAAACCTGACTTGTCACATGATCTCACTTCAACAAAACCTGATTGTCACATGATCTCACTTCAACAAAACCTGACTGTCACATGATCTCACTTCAACAAAACCTGACTGTCACATGATCTCACTTCAACAAAACCTGACTGTCACATGATCTCACTTCAACAAAACCTGATTGTCACATGATCTCACTTCAACAAAACCTGACTGTCACATGATCTCACTTCAACAAAACCTGACTGTCACATGATCTCACTTCAACAAAACCTGACTGTCACATGATCTCACTTCAACAAAACCTGACTGTCACATGATCTCACTTCAACAAAACCTGACTGTCACATGATCTCACTTCAACAAAATCTGACTGTCAAGTGATCTCACTTCAACAAAACCTGACTGTGACATGATCTCACTTCAACAAAACCTGACTGTCAAGTGATCTCACTTCAACAAAACCTGACTGTCAAGTGATCTCCCTTCCATGTGACATGTCCACATTACCTCATTGGTTGCTGCATCACAAACACATGTGTAAAGCTCTGATCGGATACCAAGGATCTTGTTACAGCGAACACATCTGAAATATTCATGGAAAACAATTGAAACTTTAATAGCACGTATTATTTACTGTAGGGATTGAATTATTCACCAATACCTTCAACATCAATTACACTTCAGTACTTAAATTATCGGTTTGTGGAACAGGAACGGGTGAAGTGCTACCATTACAGAGCCCCCTGGTGGAACACGAGGATATGATGATAGTAATGGGTGCATTGGCAGCATATAGTCTCTAGTCTGGACATATTACATGTCCTCAAACAGGAAAACGAGGTGCAATGTGTAATGCAAGATGTTTTAGAGTTGTATGTCAATCTTACAATTTATTGTTATATAAACCGACACCAGTGGTTTGTCAGTCATTAACTTAATAACTATTGCATCACAAGATCTAAGGTGATACCCAACTCTTACTTTCTGCTCAGAAATGTTTAGGCTGGGAATAAAATGTGTCCAAATAAAGGATTGCAAGAGAAATATGTAATTTTCTGACTAAAATTGATATTTTATACTTATCCTGACTCATGCTAAATGCTTGAATCCTTCTTGCGAATGAACACTTGAAATCCCTTGAAGTTCCCTTCTAAAAAGCAGACGTAAAATTATCACTCACCCACGAGTGGCCTCACTTGCCTCCTTGGCGTCCTTTTGGTCACATGACCAGCCATGTTTTGTCACTCTCTCCGTATGTATGCCCGACACCCAGATTTACAGGGAAATCCAGAGTGCCATGAGAGGGGAGGTTGGGAGGGCTGACCTCATGAGTCAGGATAAGTATAAAATATCAATTTTAGTCAGAAAATTACATATTTTCCCTTATCCTGACTCATGCTAAATGCTTGCAGAATCCATCAGAATCGGTGGTGGGTCAGGCCACTTCTGGATTCACTGGCTGTTGATTTACGTCCTGTATTACCCCCCATGGGAACTTATGATGGACTGCTGATAATTCTGTTATTTCAACTTCCTCTGATGAGTTTGGGGGGAACCACAACTTGTCAGATTTCTTCCGAAACTTCTCCTGACATTTTCATGTGGATTTTAGATATACTAACGTTCCATTAGTTATCTATTGCAACTCCATCTCTTGATGCGCGTATCAAGTGGAGATGCGACCCTTCTTCATGTACAAGTATGTCCTATACAAGTACAGGGTCTATCACTCATGCTAGTTAGTCCTAGACATGTGCATGTACTTTAACCATTTGCTCTCCAGAGCGTTGGTTTACATAAGTCAAGTGATAAAAGGGTGAGATTTTTCTCAGCGCCTTTGTGGAACCGTTAGTTGTTGTGCTACAACAAGTGGCCCAAACTGGTGAATGCCTGAGAAGTCTTCGGTGGCAATGTCTATGAGGTAGTGGTTGGCCCTCCATTATTGTTGAAATCGAGCAGTTTCCATGCAGAGCAAGTGTAGTCGCCAGGGCTCTGACTTCGTGGAGATTGGAGGCTCGTGAAGGCTCAAGTCCTGCTGCGTTGTAGGCCCTTAGTATGACGGCTCTCATCCAAACTGATATAGTTGTCTGTGAGACTTCCGTCTCAGTGGATAAGGGGATGAATAGGCGCTTAAATTTTCGTCCCCTTGTTTTTGTCCTTTGTAGGTAGACTTTTAGTGCTCTGACAGGGCATAAGGATAGATCCTGTGTATCCTGTGGCCCAAGGACTGTAGAGAGTGCTGGGATGTGGAACTGTCTGTCAGGCTGGCCGGGCAGTTGGTTCTTGGCAATGAAGTCCCATCTCAGTCCTAGATGTAAGATGTCACGATGTCTTGATTCAAATCGTGTTCTTTCAGAGTCCAGAGCATGTATTTCTGACATCCGTGCTGCTGTTGCTAGGGCAATCAGGAACAGCGTTTTCTGTGTCAGTAGTTCAAAGGATGTCCGTTCTAGAGGCTCTGAGCATCACTGGTGAGATGTTGTAGAACTACGTTGAGATCCCAGGCAGGAGCCTTGAATTTCTTTTGTTGGTCTTCCAACTTGAACTAGCATAGTAGTGCCAGTATCTCTGGTACTTTGGTCAGCTTAACACCCATCTTCAAGGTGATAACTGAGCTGAGAGCAGCCAGGTACGTTGAGAGTGTTGAACCTTTTAAGTGTCTCGCCTGTCGCAAATGACACAGGTATTCCGCCACTTGAGGATGGGTTGCTTTTACCGCTGTAAGGCCTTTCCTCGTTGCATCCTGTTCAAATCTCTGCCACTTCTCGTTGTACAAGTTGCGAGTTGATCTGCCTAGAGCTAGTGTCACTGCTTTCGCTGCTCTGGCGGAGTACCCTCAAGTCTTCAGGCAAGCTTTGATACGTTCCACGCGTGTAGCTGGAACAAAGCCGGATTCCCGTGAGCTTGCTTGGTGTGTGGATGGACTTGCTGGCCAATAGGGCGCGACCAAAATCAGTTGCAGCGTTGTCGCCTGCTTGATTTTCGGTATTACTTGTGGTAGTAGTGCTGGAGGTGGAAACACATAAGCGTTTAGTTCTTCCCATGAGATGCTTAAAAGCGTCTGTTGCCCATGCCTGAGGATCCAGAAGCGGTGAGACGAATGTTGGTAGTTATCAGTGGAGATCCTATTGTCTGTATGACGCTTCTGTGTGTAACATCCATTCCGTCGGGGATGGTTGTAGTGGACGAGATAGGGCATCTGCTATGACATTCTTTGCTCCTGGAATGTGGCATGCCTTCATGTAGATGTTCAGGTCGTCGATGATGATGAACAGGAGAAAGCTGAGTTGTAGCAGACTTGTTGATCTTGTTGATCCTTGTTTGTTGATGTAGAACGCTACTGTGGAGTTGTCCGTGTGGACCGTGAGTCTTGCGTTCTTTAGTATGCTGGACCAGTGTTGTAAAGCGTTGATCACTGCTTTCATCTCCAACAGGTTGATGTGCAGACTCTGATCCTGACTCGACCACTTCCCTGCTGCCACTTCGTCCGGTAGTATCAGCAGATCCAGACTGTCGAGATGGGCGTTCACAAATATCTGAAGTGGGCGCAGTTGTCATGTCTTGAGCTGAGGTGAGTAGACAGAGCATGCTTTGCCAAGCACGTAGTGCATTGCTTGAGATATCATATGTTGTATCTTGACCCAACGATCCTCTGGGACGACTATGCGATTCACCGGCATGATGAGTCATATTCCTAGAAATTGAAGATCCTGTTTCGGCTCCAGTTCCGACTTGAGGAGATTTACCAGCCATCCTAACTGAGTGAGAAGCCTGATGGTGAAGTCTGAGTTGACTGGGATCTTGATGAACTTGAATTCCGTCGTCCAGGTAAAATGCACTGCGTAGACCTCGACGATGTACATATGTGATAATGGGCTTGGTCACTCGAGTAAACAACGACGATATTCCAAAGGGTAAAACCTTCCACTGGAAGTGATGTCCGTTGAAAAGGAATCTTAGGTATTTCCTTGAGTCTGGATGTATTGGGATGTGTAGGTACGCATCTTGTAGATCTATGCTGGCGAGGTAGTCTGATGGACGAACGAGATGTCGGAGCTGAGGAAGATGTATCATCTTGAATTTTGCTGGTCTGCGGAGATACTCCTGGTTGAACTTCCTCATGTTGTAGATGAGCCGAAACTTCTCCTTGGAATTCTTCTTCGGTACCAGGAAAAATGGGGAGTAAAAACAGGGCGTGATTAGATCTTGATTTATCTCTTCTACTGCATCTTTGTCGAGTAGAGTCTTGATTGGGTCGTCCAGTTTCTCTGTCTGGTCGGCTGCGTAGTTGAAGGCCAGCGGGTTGCTTGTAAGTGGTGGGGTGGCTTCCAACTGTTTCTTGTACCCTCTGCGTAGTATCTGGGATACGTAGTCGTCCTGTAGTATTCCCCAATTCTCCCAGTACCGTTGAAGACGCCTACCCACTGTCGAAGGTTGTACAGGAACGGCTGGGGGTGGAAGACTCCAGTCGTTCCAAACCTGTCCTTCAGCACTTGGTTCCCCTTGGCACCCCTGGGTACTCGTCCTTTTCTGGGGTTACTTCTGGGGGCTCCGGTTGGGCAACGAAAAGAACCTCTTCCTCCTCTTGAGCTGGAATACTTCTTTTCTCTGGACACCTGCAAACTTGGATTTGTTGGAGTAGTGCTGGGTCGTCTGACGAATCACATTTGCCAAGGTATCTATGGGCTTTATCATCATGACCTCCCTTGATTCGTGTGTAACCTCTTTGGCAACTTCTTCAATTCCTCCTCCCGAAGATGGATGATGCTGACCATGGGGCTCTGTATAAGGACTTGGTGAACCGCTCACTCCAGGTGCACAATGACAATAATCCTTGTCTCCTGAGGAGAGTCAGGCCCGCTGATGTGGATGCTAGATGCTCTGACATAAACTGGTGGTCATTTTTCTGAGTCAGTAGCACAGAATATATCGGGTTGTCTTTGGCGGTGGAGTTCTTGAGCTTCGAGATGAGTGCTTCGTTGATAGCCCTAGACCTGGCTAGTCCGAAGAAGGTACGTCTAATAGTCGTATCCAGTCCTCTATCTTGTAAGTTCTATAGCGGGAGTCATTGATGATCTTGTAGTCCTCATCAATCTCTGGTGCCTTCAGAAAGGGTTCCATGTGATGTAAGGGGAATTTCCTGGCGTTGAATGTCGGGATATGCTGATTCTGGAACTTGGCAGCCTTATCAAAGGCTGAGCTGAGACTGTCCGGTACTTGGGAGATCGGCAGAGGCATTCCACGTGTCTAAAAACTTATTGCAACATCTACAAATCATTTCCCCGACAGTAAGCAGACATTTTCTCCAAAACCATCGGCAATCATACTCACTTGTCGCCAACGCCCGCGCCAACGCCTAAACCTAAGGGCAAGGATGGCAAAAAGAATGAAACTCGCAGATACCAAGACCTCGTTTAGAGAAAATGTCTGCTTACTGTCAGGGAAATGATTTGTAGATGTTGCAATAAGTTTTTAGACACGTGGAATGCCTCTGCCGATCGAATCTAGCCCTACATAGGTGTTGTCATCGTGGCTGGAATTAATAAACGAATTTAAAAGGTGAGTTTTCGCTGTTTTGGGTGATCCATGATTTTGGCTTGGAATTGCGGAGGTAGCGGTTTTCGGTGAGTCGTGGCATATAACTTTTGAAATAATGATCCGATTGTGACCATTTATAGCTCATTTTGTAGGGAAAGCATCTCGCTTTTGATCCGTAGGCCTTGACGGGGCCTTAAAAATAGTTTACGTGGTGAAATCTAAGTTAGAATGAGGAGGGGGTGGATCCGTCGTTACATCCCTTTCCTTTTATATAGTACTAGGGTAGGGTCTATATACCCATATGTCTTTCTAACGCTGTTTCTAAGCGTGACACGCCCCTGTGCATGAAACAATACCCAACAAATATGGTCAAACAGAATAACATTTAATTAGCTATATTTTACCTTTAGGGTTAAAATATGGACCCAAAAAAAGGTACTGATTTTAATCTCCAACACAAGATAGATGACAGAGAGTATTTTTGTGTCAACATCAATCACTGCCAAAGGTGGATTATCCAGTGAAATATTCCAGCAATAAACAGAGACCAAAGCATCTGAAAACCCAGTGTTGTACTCTTCTGTGCTAAAACCAATCAGTACCAACAAAAGGACATATCATTTCTGTTGATGTTGTTTTGTCACCCAACTCTTTGCTATCACACTGACTTAACCCCATCAACAAGCACCCGATAGCTCGTAACAGACAATACATTTGCTAAGATCCATTAAGTCTCTCCTCTCCATGTTCTAACAACTTCTAAATGACTACCAATGACTTTAATCTAGTAGAATGTTAAGAAAGCAGGGGAGCTGGAATATCAAAATGACATATTTATAAACAGTAACAAATATTTTACCTGTCTCCAGCATAGTTTAGGGATGTGTAATTTGCACAGTTTCGACAGACTCTGGCATTGGGACCAGCTATCCAGTTTCCATCCACTCCACGACCCACTGTAAACAAATGAAGAATCTTAAGCCCAACATAATAAAAATAATTCCTTACGATTTGCAATATTCCAAAACTTATAATTTATTTCACGGTATTCTCTAATGAGGATGGAATTAATAGTAACACCATTTGAAGATCCACGTAGAGCTGATCCTCAGAAACTGTTGCTTGTCTCCCTCCGTGAAACTTCGGGTTATAACTGGTCCTCAGCAACCAATGCTTGCAGATCCAAAGCCTGCCAGACGGACCACTGGATCCAGTCAGTACTCTTATGGCAAGCCTGGATTGCTGACGACCAATTCTAATCCTGATCTGTTTCTAACGGCAGACTGTTTTAATATTACACAACATGGTATTGTCATTAGACAGTGAAACCAGTTGATGTTATCTTTTTGTATCCCTGTGTAGGCAGACAGTTTCAAGTATGAGATAAGATATTCAGGTTTTTGTAATAGTGATTATTTCCTATGAAATATTGCAGTGAATTGAATATCATAACATACGTCGTATCATGAACAAATCATCATGACATGCCTAGAACACAGGAGAAATTACATTTCTCAGAACATAAATATGAATAAATACCTTGTACTTGTGGTCGAGTGGATGATGCACAGCTGGGACATGTGCGTGTGGCACTTGCAGATGCTGGACATGTCACACACTCCCACCCATCTGATGACGTAACCTAGGCAACAGTTCAACAGTTTATGGAAACATAAAACATGACATGGTCTTATTCAAAATACCAGACTCAAAAGTAACATAAAGCACTGTAAACCTGAACCTAACAATTAAATGAATATTTAAAAAAATAAATAAGTGAAGGAATATCACCATTCAATATTTCATGGCATTTGATATACTTTGCCAAAAAATCATGATGATGGACAATTTTTAATTTTAATATCAAAACTTAAGAAGAGTAGATAAAAAAAACTAGTTTTTTACCCACTTTATCATGTATATACAAATGAAAGCATTGAAACTTGTTGTCAAAATCATACTTATTCCGCTATATGCCTATATCACTTGACAATAATGACAAGTGTCTCTTTCACTTTAGTCAATAACAACAACACTGAGCTTAATAATGTTACATTTTCTCTTTGTAAACAATAATGCACTGAAGGAACATGTACTTTAAGTAACTCATTTAAAGTTTGTAATTACAATGTGTATGTGAGCAACTTGGTCTCGTCGCTATGTGGCTGAAAAAATGCTGATGTGACGTGAAACTTTAACTCACTCACTCACACACACTAATCATCTTACTTGATCAGCTCGACAAGCCTGACAAGTCACTTTTGTTCCACCGAAGTTTTGAGTGTACCTGAATCCTGGGTTACACTCACATGTTAGGCCTGTAAACAGGGAGAGTGGAGTGTGAACAAATATTCTGTTACATGCATGTAGGAGTTGGTTTAACATTAGCAGAGAGTCACTGGTCATTCACAGCCTAGTGAAAACCTGGAGCAACTACATTTCTAATAGAATATAGTTATTTTAAATAAACCACTCATCCAAGATGGTGGATAGCTGGCAGTGAACATCAGTCTCCACCTCTCTCACAAATTGGGAGGACTGACTGACTGACTGAGTTTAGTTTTACGCCGCTTTTAGCAATATTCCAGCAATATCACGGCGGGGGACACCAGAAATGGGCTTAACACATTGTGCCCATGTGGGGAATCGAACCCGGGTCTTCGGAGTGACGAGCCAACGCTTTAACCACTAGGCTACCCCACCACCCCAAATTGGGAGGAAAGCCTACTATGATGAAAGAGTAAATTGGGTTAAACACTGCATTTAACAGTATTCCAGTGTTATCACTGCATGTCAACTTAACATGCTTAATGTGTGAAAAAAGCTTGAAGTGATGCAGGTCTCACATTGGTGAGGTACAAGGAGGCACAGGTATGGTGCTAACTAGTGTTGGGAATTGGTTAAAATCTCATAATTGATGATTGGTTTATTACAACCGATCAATCATCGAAAAAAATTGGTTAGCGTCATTAATGAAATTTGTTAATGCACATAAAAATATGGAAAAAACATGTAGTTCTTTTGGTTTTTGGCAAAATTTCACATCTTTAATGGGTGACTAGTATGTCAGGAACATAAATTTCTTGGAGTCTTTAAGATAAATTCAATCATGACTTGAAACAAGCTTGTAGTGCTTATGAAATGTAACAGACAAAACCAACCTTGTGAAAAATATTGTTTATGAAAACAAGTGTTCCAGAATTGTTTGTGTTCGATTATGAGAAAACATGATCGATTGCTTGGTCATTTAGTCACTGCGACCAATCTTCGATTATTTCAATTAATCGGACCACCACTAGTGCTAACAAACCCAGGTACATAAATAGGCTAATCATGGTTTGAACTCCTAATCACAGAATTCTGGTTTCTCAAGTGAATGCAACTCAAACAGTTTCAAATGTGTGATGAAGGTCGTGGACATTTTGGTGAAACACATGAAAAATGTTTTGGTGAGTGAGTGTGAGAGTTAGATTTTATGCCACTTTTTGCAATATTCCTGCAATATCATGGCGGGGAACACCAGAAAAGGGCTTCACACAATGTACCAATGTGGGGAATCAAACCCGGTCCTTTGGGAGTGACAAGCAAACACTTAACCACTGGGCTACCCGACCTTGACCTGGGTGCTGTTGTACAAAACAACCTTAGTTCTAAGACAACCTTGCGTGTGGGCCGTTTTGGGGTAATGAGTATCAAGTGTCGCTAAATCTATTTTGAGAGCAAGCAGGGATACCAGCTAAGGGTAGCATCTCTTGATGTTCCTATGGCTGGACAATTGGATCTCACAAAAATTCCGAAGTTACTTTTATTCTCAGAAAATCCAAGGGTTCGGCCTGCATTATACGTGTTACTGATGTCGCATTGAACAGGAGAATATGTTTTTTATTGGAAGTACTGAGAGTGCCATGTCTTCTGATCGAAAAATGTTCTCAGGGAATGTTCTACCGGTACACATACTGTGTACAGAAAATGTTTAGGTGAGGTCACTCGTGTGAACAATACTTTCTGCCTTGAAAAGAAATCTGCAATTAATTTGTACCAATCCTGTGGAACTGAAGTGCAAAAGATGATTTTGAATCAAGGGATACGCAGAGAAAGTCGCTACTGCAGGAAACAAGATTGGAAATCTCCTATGAAACAGAATCTGCATCTGCTTTTACCTGTATCATGCCACTTTTATCATGATACCTCATAAATACTTGAAAGAAATGTGCAAAAAGACAGACAAAATATCTTGGCATCAAGGAGAAGAATGAGCAGTATATTGATGATATGATGGATATCTGCAATTTCGTTCATAAATCAAGGAATATGCCATCAGATCCCCATGACGATGTCTTTTTAAAGTTTATTGAAAAAGGCACAAATGCCTACATAGTTGAGGTACACTGCTTTGAGCCTAATGATGAATATTTCTCTGTTTGTGTCTTCATCATTGAAATCAAGGGTGACACAACAATGACAGTAGCAGGGCTTGTATTTTCTACTGCCTTGTATAAATAGGGAGAATTTCGAAATGTCAGTGATTTTCCACGCCTGGTCTGGTTGGAGAACAAAACAACACATCTTCACCACTTAAGTACCTTTCAGTTTCAATCATTGTATTCTGATTTGGACGAATGCTATGTATATTTGCTTTCATCTTCATCAAAAGTCCAATTCATTTTTACCCTGAGATGGAAAACTTTTCGAAATCACCCCTCTCCTCACCAGTGTAAAATGAAACAGTTAAAGACAATATTTGGATTTTGTAAGTCATCAGGTCTCTAATGTAATCACACGTGTTGTTTGTCTGGAGTGAGAGGACAGGCAGAAGCAGGAGGACTTGGCTTAGTGTGGGGTCTTGGGGAGTGCTGGGGGAGGCTCCCATCAGTTAATATTAAATACTAGTGACAGCTTGAGATCAACTGATAATTACAAGCGCTGTGCTCGCTTGTGAATTCAGCAGATTGGTACAGACCCTGAAGCTGTGGAAATCTAGACTTGCCACATTTTCTCGACTTGCATGGGCTTTCTTGCTTATGCTTGCTTCAGGGTCTGTACTGTATGACAGGCTAAACGGCTGTCCCTGACCCATGTTCAGTGTCAAATTAAACACACATTTGATGATGGTCAAGTGGTCAACCACATATACCAGTCAAGTTTGAACCACTAGCGAGACTTCATCGGATTAGCGAATCTGCATCTTCAACTTGCGTGAACCTAAACGGCACCCTGGCCGTGTCAGTCCTTTAATGATGAGTAAAATATTTGAACCACTAGGGCATCTTCAACTTGCGCGTACTCTGCTAAAAAATATACCCAAAGTGACAATCTGTTCATGTATGTAAATTGGTTTCCCCCATTCTCAATTACAACTTGTCATTATGTATGTCGTCATTTGATAGCAGTCAAACAGGCAAGATGCACGATACTACTTAGTCTCAGACTTGTTCATACAGGAATGTGACTTACCATCGGAACTTGATTTCTGAAGAGTGCTATTTTGTGAACACGGTTCACAGGTCATTGTAACAGCATCGTAAAATTCGTGAAAAAGGTCACTTGGTCCGTTTTTACAGTCAGCTTTTGTTTGGAATATAGAATATAAAGTTTGAGCATTTGTGCCATGAACAGCGATGAGTAAGAGAAGGAATTCCATTCGAATCCCCGCCATGTTGGTTGTCTGTAAACATTCAAGATGCTACTTCCTTCGCGACTATTCAAGTTGACAAGTGCGACTGTTGTCATTTGGGTCTGACAGAAAATGTGCAAGAATACGAAATAAATTACAATGTGTGAGGACAGAGTTGACATGGATTCTGTATCCGGTCCTTGAATGTGACCTGTTGGTCGTATTTATCAAGCAAGTGATGCTCATGTTATCAAAGGCGTCCATTTGTAACAGAGAGTCAAAAATACACAAAAAAACCCATAATAATATTATGTCCTTCCAAATATTTTACAACTTTGTCGTGCACCATATTTTGCACAACAAAACGAAGCGTGCTATGCTAGCACTGCGCAAAAATGTCGTTAGACACAGTTCTATTTACTTCTTATTGGTGTTATCAATTAACTTTGCACATTGTAAGTTTCTTCTTGCACCTGATTGAACCAGTTGTGTAGAAACACTAATTGCTGCTGAATTAATTATTTCGAATAGGGAAAAATAAATATGAGTTAAGTATGATCTGGTTTGACATAGTATTGGGCCTTCTTATTTAATTCATCCAATATTTATATTTTTTTCATTTTTTTTCAAATTCATTTTCTCAGATCCGCACAAAGCTCATTTGCATAGAGTCACTTCTGGGGTGATTGTAGAATATCCAAATAGAGCGAATGTTCATTCAAGAAAGAAGATGCTGAAGAAGACGTGTTTATAACTTTTGAGGTAGATTGTTATGGTTTATGCTTGCCTTTAAAGTTCGAATCATGATGGCACAAGTGCAAGTATTCACATAAAGCGATTGAAGTTATTGTTTCGGTTACTGAAGGAGAGAAAGAGACCGCGCTTTGTAGACAAATCAAAATGGCGTCTCGATGTATCTCCAGTTTTGCGTTCAGAAAATTCTCCTAACATTTTGGTTTAAGTGTTGTCCAAATGACGAAATATAAGTTGTGATGTGAACTTTTGGGCCCGAACTTTTTGCCATGGCGCGTAAGTGGATGTTAACGTTGTTATAATAAGGAGGAGTTAATGAAGGCATTTTTGACATCACGTGACCGTTGCGACCACGCTTAGTTGTGCGGATTCACAACGAAAGTGCTATCACATGAGCGACTAGGGGCCGAGCGATTAAATGTGTGGTAGCAGTTGACAAACGGAAGCTTCCTGTTTCAATGTACGTATTTTTAGGCGATTGAAGAGCTATGTTTTTATTGGGACCTCTTCAAACGATCGAACGACCAATCCACGTGTTGAATCGAATCCATGTCTAGTTATCCAATCTCGTTTCCTACCGATATGACTTGTTATTTTCGCGAAAATGAAGGCATTATGGAAAAGTGATTTTCTTGTAAATGTGAAAACTACAAACCCCGATTAGTATGTGTACTATAGCCGATGAAAGTCGAACATCTTGTATTTTACTGCTGGGGAACGCAAATTTGTAAACACCCACCCGAAATGTTCGTCAGCACATTTGTAAATGGACTGATGTGAAGTAAATATCTTGTAGTTTTCTGCTGCATAGGTCAACATTTGTAAATACATCTGACCCAATCTTTTTTAGAACTTGTGTACTTTGAAAGACTTGACAAATATCTGCACTTAGCCTATGCAGGGAGACATTATCATCTCAGTGAATGATGGAGTATAACTTTGGACAATCACCTCTCTACTCAACCATGTACAGAAGTGGAAACTTACCGAAAAGTGAAAGGAATGAGCCTCGAACAAGTTCATCAAGGCATGGATAGTCATGATGTCCCACAAAGGAGGACCTCATCTCTATACAAGTTGCAAGTTGACACAAATCATACAAAATTCAATTGTTTGACCATGTTGACAGGACATGCAGACGTGAAGATTTACACCTGTTATGATACCATCTAAATCAATAACTGATTAATCTCTCCCTCTTTTGTTGAACATTGTAAATTGTAAGTAACATTCTAATCTGCCGTCATCTCTATCAATGTTATATCTGATCGTAACTGATAATTTACTCCACACCACTTTCCATGTAAATCAGTTTCTAAAACTTGCACCTCATTTTGAATTTGATTAAACAAATTGTCTTGCCCATTCAGACCAGAAATATGTTTTAGTCTTTGAGCAATGGGACTGAACAAGTTCATCACATCCAAACCTTAATTTACTGCTATGTGTGTATTTAAAGTTGTGTATCTAATTATAAACTGAAATACTGACTAAATGACTTAATCACAAATGTCTGGACTTGCAGCTTACTTTCTTCTCAAGGTCCCAAGTGGTGCCTAACATGTTTACCAAGGAGCCAAGTCAGATGACTATGAACCAACCTAAGTTGATCAGCATTAAGAATCATAGTAAAGAAACTGATGCAACAGGTTGTATCAAACCTGTCTATTTAGGGCTCAATGTAGAGACAAAGATACAGGTGTGGTATTAAATTATAAACAAGCTACAATCTGCAATTGTTATCATGGGTATATCAGCAATGAAAAACATTGTAGCTGCATGTGTTCAGCTGGAAAAGAGTTATGAAACAAAGTGTCTGCATTACAACATCGGCAACATTATAAAGCATTATTATGTCTTCTGAATAATTGAAACATTTTTTTCTTCTTTTTTTTTAACAATCTCATTTCTATGTCTGTTTTGGTGTATGCAACTGCGTTTGTCTGTTTTAATTTTCAAAGCATATATATTTCACACGTCATGTCGTTCACGGTGTTTGACTGTCAAGAGTTCCATGCCGTTCCAAGTAAAACAGAGTGCTTATGAAAATATGGATGTATCGCCAGCATAATTGAAACATTTGGTGCAATAGTGGACTAACCATCAAAATCATGTTTCTCGAGGAAATCGTCATTTTACTAATTTTAAAATATAAATACATTATTCTACTGATGTCATTAATTAGTTTCATCCCTTTCTTACCAAGACTGATTCTGATTATGTATAGTGCTAGCACAGGCATTCCCATTGGATACGCCACTGTTGTGGAAAGAGTTATCTCTTCCGTCACTAAAAGAAATCTTACGAGTTTAATGATTATATAATGATGAGGTCATGGTGTTTTGTGATGGGAAGACATACTTTTTCCCACAAATATCACTTCAAATCAAGAACAATAACTTTCTGTATATATTAAAGTATTTAGTAACTTTGGCAAAGCATACAAAAGGTCACTGTGACATACTGTTACCAATAAGTACCAGTACATGCATGAATATTACTTGAACACAGTGCAACACCTGGCATCTCAAATATTAACCCAAACAAAACTAAAATTTCTTACAACTGTCAGACCATTGTGTCACAAGGTGCCAATACTAAATAAACAGAACCTTTAGATGCATGTGATGTAGTTATCTTCAGAATCAGTAAATCTGCAATCAAGGTCAGAAGAGCTTGCATTCAATTGACATGTCACTCGCTCAAACACTTAAGTGGGCATTTACAGTTTCTTCCAACAGTTTTGTCTGGTATGTTCTTACCCGGAACTGTAGTGGAAGGTTGACTGGAAATTCAGCGATAGTTTCTCTCATTCCGACCCTACTTACCAGAGTTGACAGTTCACACAGGCAAATTAATTGCTTCATGTGACATGTTAGCTATGCTCTTAAATTAATTCTCACAACAAACACGATAATACATTCTGATTGGTGAAAATTAAGTTCTTGATCATACTCCACCATTCCCTTAAGAAAATGTCTAATTGTTTGTCATCAAGAGAAAGAATAGTGTTTGCCCCAATGCCTAACGCTATTCAGTCATGCTGGGCTATTCCCAAGGAAATGGAGCTTACTCTGAATGCTTCTGTGTACATACCTCAAAATTTGAAAGAAGTGGGTTGCTCCACTATTGGACCAAGCGCTTCAATCGCAGTTCATGATCACTTCAGCAAGCTGTTTTCGTACCTACACACCATTGTTGTAGATTTCACACTTTTATGGAAGGTGCGTGTAATATCGGCATCGTTTGAAATTATTACGTTACTTACATTTGGAAGGATCAACACTACGTTACGCAACAGCAGGGCAATTTCATTATTGTCATGGATGTTTTGCGTGAGGATCAAGTTACTTTGTGCAACATGTTTGGTGATCTTCCCACAGCCAACGGCAATGAACTCAAACTTCAAGCGGTGCGTTCATTAATTGAAAAGTCTGGACGAAACTTTTTTTCGCTTCGAGGAACCCATGTTATAGGTCTATTCAGTATTGCAATATTATGCACTAACCAAAAACTGAACGCTTCATTCTCATTACGCGACTTCTGTTTTTTTTTTAACAAGTAGTCATCTGTAGCTCTTTTATGCAAAACTGCATTATTGAAAGTCCATGATAATGAAACAATTCAAAATTAAACGACCACATGGTCAGATGTTAAATGTTTCATTAAAGCTCTATATGGGTAATTTTCTTGGACACATGCAATGTAATAAGTCCAGTGGCAATATGAAGAAAACACAAATTCAGTTTGGAAACCCTTGTCTTAACCTTCTATTCCCAGCAGTCTAATGCTCAAAGGGAATCAGAAGTCAGTGTCTGAAATGAGTATGGAAGAAATGTCCAACACATTCAGTTCTGGCAAAAAAGCACATTGGTGAAATGTTTTGTTCAGTCAATAATTTTGACATAAACATGGTCCTGTTTGCCTCCATGCACAGTTGTCTTGCCATTTATCTTGAATTGCAATCGTAACATAACCTGCAGTGAAGTTGCTTCCGTCTTTGCTGAAATGAATATTTCAGAACCTTAGCACAAGGCGCACTAGTGACGGAACAGTCTTTGTTGCAAAAACAGCTGGTCTTGACAGTGGTTCCTGATTTTTACTCGCCTGGCATAGTGGCATGCACGTTTTGTTACATGTCAACTATTATTGCAGACCACAACAAACAAATCAATACTATTTTTAATTGGGTGAATATATTATATACAATATGACCAATGAATGTTGCAAGGAGATTGTTTAGTCACTATAGCAACTGCCAGATTTTTATACACAGGTTTTTTAATACATAGACATGTTGCTTGGAATGTCTGTTTTGATTTTTTATGACTGTTTTATACTGAAGTAGGACTGATCCTTACAATTTAATTTTTAGTTATGGTGATGCCTTCCCCAGCAATTTTATTGATCAGAAGTCATACTTAAGCACTGTCAAATTTAAATTGAACAGCCTACTACCAATGACTGACATCCATCTGAAACACTGATCAGCCTAATTGTATGAAACCTTTCTTGCTGAAAAGGGAATATGGTTGTCTGTGAAATGAAATAATGCGAGTTTCAAATCACATGTTTCCTCTTTACTTTCGGAAAGATGACGTTAATAGACATGCAGTAAAATGAAAAAGTTCTTTTCTGTTCTGAAACTTGTTTCCCCAAGGATCCTAAAAGGGCAGGGTGACAGAATTTCAAAAGGGGCACACCTGTTCCAAAAACGTATGCAGTGACTGATATCCAAGCATTATGTTAAGTTGTACATGTAAAGGTTCAAAGAGCACAGTTATTTTAACGTGATTAGAAAAACTAAAAACCACCAAGTGTTAAAAATGCCTTGGGAAACAAAAACTTCAGTACATGATAAGGCTGTAATGATTCACTCGCATACTAGTATTCAGTGAATCGAACTGTAGCCCTTCATGAATTCAATTCGTTATTCGTGGTTACCAGAACCGAATATTAATGAATATTTAAGATTTTTTAAAGGGAACATGTTTTACTTGAACCCTTAT